AGTTTAGGATTGAGGGATGTGGGGGTTTGGTATCGTTGGGTTTAAGGTTTGCAGGCTCAAAGGATTGAGGATGTGGGAATGTTCATGTCATGCTGGGGCTGCAAGGTTTACAGCTTAGAGACGTTCAGCTCGGGTCGGTGCCACTGCACATCTGGCGGCTTGCAGATTGGTGGTATGTAACTCTCGGGTGATGATTGAGACACAGCTTCCGCGCCGCATACAGCGATCGACATTATCATCAGCATCATCATGATGATCATCATCATCACTTCTCATCACCGCCAGGCTATCATAAGCAGGGACACCACCACCGTGTGCATCATCATGGGCATGATCATCATAATCATAACCTTGACCTATCTTGTCGACTATAGGTTTTGTCATTCAAAGAAGCTAGAGTCATCTGCGTGCTACCGCTGTTTTGGTATCGAATCAGAAGCGACATCACTACCACCATCTTTGCTACTGCTACTGCGACCGCTGGACTCTGGCTCTAACTTCATTAGAGCATCATCCCACTGTGATCGCCCCTTCTACTATAACTGTCAATACGGTCTGTCCCCACAGGCGGAGACTTTGCGCAAAGTGCTGCATGCCAGGGCCACCGAAAAGCCAGAAGGCGGGGGGCAGCACTGATGACTGATGAGAGCTACTGCACTTGGGGTCAAGATGTGTTACATGATAAAAGGCATGTTTACACGAACATGTATCTTCAAGTAGTGATATTACTTGCAGATGACATGTATAAACATGTAGACCGTTCATCTGTGTACATATATGTGCATGTGTGTGTACATATATGTATATATCCGTGTGTGTACATATACATACACACCTATATAGATGTGAATACAGATGTAGGCATCTTTGCTGTAGTATGCATACCTACATTCACATTTGCTTGCTTAATGGCAAGTAAGTCTTCTATTCGTTCATCCATGCATTTTTGTATGTCGTTTTCTCAATCATGTATCGTTACATGTCCTCAAAAATGCATGCACTCTGTGCGTGTGTCTACATGTATGTAAATGTTTGTATCGGTATGTAATACATGCCATGCATACCTACATGAGTATATACATATGAACATACATACGGGCATACAGACATTCCAGGACAGTGCCAAAGGGAATTGGATGTTCTTGGACATTGCATAGGCATTTCACAACACATGTTGTTGTCGTAATCTTGTGGGTTTTTCTCACAGATGAAAATTGCATTTCGCAATGAACATGGGCTTGCAGCTTTGGTGTTTGCCTGTAAACCTGGAAATGGCACAGTTCTTCCTAGTCGATCTTGACATGAATGATCACTCCCTTTGCGAAGGTGGCTGCAGTGCTTGCTGTCGGTGCTACAAGCACTATTATGCCACTGTCAATCTCCAATGCGACAACCACAACAACAACTACTACGACTCCTACTCCTACTGCCGCTGCTGCTGCTCCTGCTCTGCTACTGCTATACCTATACTGCTACAGTACTGCTGCTGCTGCTCTGCAGCTACTGCTTCTGCAACTACTACCACAACCACCGCCTCTGTGCTTCTACGGATACAAGTGCAACGATGGCCAGTCAATGAGTACGGCTTTCGATGTCGATTTGATTCACCATGCCATTCGTTTCTCGTCATTACCCAAAGACGTGCCTGAGGTTATGCCTTGTCTTTGCGTCGCGGCCTCGACTTGACGCTGATGGTTGTGAAAGTGGTCCCAGCAAGAAATCCTGGGGAAGCTGGGAAGCTACTTATGCCCTTATGCATGTAGACAGGCAGTTACGGCGACCCGAGCAGAAGCGATCCCAAGAGCAGCCAGTTGCCACACCTCCGTGACCATCATCATCACCATCATCGCCAGGAGCAACAGAAACACGCCCATCAGTGGCCCGAACAACCAAAACAAACACACAGCATTCTAACTATTATAAGGCCCCTATATTATAGTACCCTTGTAGATCCCTTATTAGTATGGTACCCTTATGGATCCCTTACTGTTATAGTACCCTGATAGATCCCTTGTTATTTTAGTACCCTTATAGATCCCTTCTTATTATGGTACCCTTATAGATCCCTTATTATTCTAGTACCCTTGTACCCTTATAGATCCCTTACAGTAACCCTGACTTGAGGCTTCGTCGGCCACGGCGGTCGACGGCTTGACTCCACGGCGCCGCCCTACCCAGAGCCCCAGGACCTTACATACGATACTACAGCTTACTAGGGGGTTTACAGTTTAGGGTTTTTAGGGTTATATACGATTTCAGGATCCCTTTTAGGGTTATATACGATTTCAGGATCCCCGTGGATGTTTGCCCTGGAGCCCGCAAGAAGCCGATACAGGGCTGGAAGTAAAGATCTTGATTCTTACTTGCTGGGGTCAGCATCGTATACACCCTGAACTTGCCAAAGCTGTGCGAAAGAGTGTATGGAAACGCAGAGCTTCTGAGAGTCAATTGAGAGTTTCCGCACATAGGGGACCCTAAAATAGTACCCCCAAAAGTAGAATCCTTATTATTATAAGGACCCCAAAAAAGGTACCCCCTAACTTTCGGAAAGTCCCAATTGGCCTGTAAGGCTGGTCAAGGTGTGAGCGGAGCGCGGAGTTCAGGTTTCGAGCTTACATCGAATTATATGCGGATTTGGGTTCAGAAAGAGACAAATCTAAACCAAGGCTCTCGGTTTGGGGTCTAGGGTGCAGCTCACTTTAAGCCTAAGACTGCCTCACCCTAAACCCTAATCCTCAATCCCAAATCTCAAACAGCCTCAATACCCGAACGCCAAAGTGTAGAACAGCCTCAAACCCTAAACCCTACCCCCGATCCCGAAACCCCTACGAGGACCACCAGCTCTTCTTGGCCATCCAGGCACGCACAGGGGCGATGCACGTGGACTCGAAATTGGCATGGCTTAGGGTTTAGGGAGATGACTTAGTTCGAATCGAATCCGAAGTCGCAATCCCTGAGCCCCTACGCCCCTGAAGCTTCCCAAACCCCGAACCCCAGACCCCCCCCCGAAGCCCTAATCCATGACCACCTTTAAACTATAACCCCCCTCGTAAGACTTCGTTCTGAATGAAAGCCGCACTGGCGCAGACGGCCCGATTCTTGGACTGTCAGACCTACTTCGAGGCCTGGAATTTGGAAGGGACTGGTGCTGATGAATTTATGAGAGTTTGGGGTTCGGGGGATTTGGGAGGGTTTAAGCCTGGCGATATAGGATTGAAAAGCGTTTAGGATTAGCTGTGCTGAAGAGGCGTCGCGCTTCAGGATTCGCTTGAACCTAGGAGGGCGGAGGAATCCACACAGTTTTCGGGTTAGTACGAACTCGCCGGGTTGATCGCTCAAGGGTTAGTGTACAGAGTAAATTGTTTGTGGTTGGGTTCCCCTTGAGCCTGAGCCAGAATCCGGGGACCAAGGAAATCAGGAAATGGGGGCACTCGCATTCTAAATCCATCAGGACTCTCCGGAAAAATCACGATTGGCGAGAGTGCCTTACAGATGCAAGTGCGCGATCTCCGGACGTGACCGCTGTCGCCGCCACACACTCGCAACCCTAAAAGACTGAAGCCTGCTGGGAGGTTCATGGGTAGTTATATGTAGAGTTATAAGTTTCCTAATATGGGTTGTAATTATAGTTACCCTACTTATAACCCCACTTGTAACTACCCATGGACTTCCAAGTGTGCAAGGATTACTGCATCCCGCTGATCCTCCGGGGCCTGGCACGAGATGCCGCCTACAGGCGCAGGAAGTGGTTCGAGGCCCGGACCGGCCCAGGGTTTCGAAGATCCAGCGGTTCGGTCTTGGGTTCTTGGGGTTTTTGTCATCTCAGGACCTCCAAAGTCCATACTGGAGCTCTGCCCTCCTTGTGTTGAGTGGTTCGATCCGAAATCTAGGAGGCACATGACTGTTCCGAATTTGTTGGGCGGGGGGTGCAGGGTGTAGTTAAGACATAACATAAGTTTGAGTTGAAGCCCAAGGCCCTAGGCCGCAGGACTGTCAGTAGACACTGATCCAGATGGGTGCATGTGTTTGCAGGCACTGGGGCATGAGTTCCGGCGTACTATAAGGGCCTAAATAAATACCTATTCGATTTCGGGGGTTCCCCGTCTTTTTACCCCCAAACCCTATTCTACTCATTATGGCCCCTAAGGACCTCGGGGCGATGGCAGAGGTAGGGTGTTCTTTGCAATCATGTTACGTATCTGTGTATACGTACTGTTGGTGTTTTGCACACATGCGCATGTGTGTATATGTAAACAGAGATAGATGTACATGTGCATGCGTGACATACCTACCTGAATGCACGCCGTGTGCGCATAAGCAGGACTGTCTGATGCTGCATGCTTTAGTCTCTATCACATATACACCAAACAAGCCCAAACATTTGTGTGTCTAGCTCCATCCATGTATATATGTATGTATGTATCCATGTATCCTTGTATCCACGTATTATCTCAGTATTTCTGTATGTATTTATTGATTTATGTATGCAGTGTATGTACGTACGTAACTATGTATGTAGGTAGGTAGGTGTATAGAACTATAAGCAGATTTTTGCGAAACAGCCGGGGTGTGCATAGTGTTCTGGTCCAGCACCGCCTTCCTGTGAAACCCTCGCCTGCTGTTTGCAGCCCTTTGCGGCTTGAGCGTCTGTGAATCATGCTGTGCATCGCAGACACCCCATGTGTTCCAAGAGAGGATCGAAGAGTGAGCTGTCAAGGTTACCGTCGCGGATACAGGTAGTTTCAAGGGCGCAAGCAAAAGCTTGGCGTGTCCATTGCCCAAATCTTGTGCAGCTAAATGCAAAGAAGGACTGGACCAATCCACTTTCCGCTGCATCCGAACTTGTACAGAGTTTGGCCACGAGGACTAATATACTATTGTTTGTTTAGGCCTTGTGATTTTTCATGTTCAGCATGCCTCACAGGAGACACCCACTCGATGAGCCTAGCAACTGCAACCAAAAAGCACTGCAGAGAGCACTGTCAGAGTTAGAGAACCCGATGCAGTGTGACGAGCTGTGCCGTGCATTGCACCGAACGGTGCAGTATCGGTTGCCTTGCGGCACCCGTGTGTTGGTGACTTCAGACTCCGATGAGCCGTGCACTCAGTTGGGAGTTGGAGCGAACCACCGGGGTGGAGGGATGCGGTACGCAAATCTCAATCCATTCCTTCAGCATATATATATATATATATATAGAGAAATATATACACGACCTACATAGCACTTGCATGGCGAAGATGTGCGAAAAACAAAGGCAGCATATGATATACCCAGATCACCCCTCCCCTCCCCTCCCCTCCCCTCCCCTCCCCTCCCCTCCCCTCCCTCTCCCCTCCCCTCCCCTCCCCTCCCCCACTCCGAGATTTAATGCAAGCACTGGTAAGCAGCACTCAGGTGCGAGGCGGAGCTCCGCTTGATGCTGGAATCCCCGGGGCTCCTGGGCCTCGACGCCGAGTGGGCCGACGCGCGCGGCAAAGTAGCGCGGCATGGCAGCGGTTAGAGGTAAGGCTTATAATGCTTCAGAATGATAGGGCTTCGAGTTTAGGAATGTATAGGGTCTATAGGGTATAGTAACGAAGTCAAGGTCGTATGGCGTCTCCAGAGTTTCCGTAGACGCTTCGCAGAGTGTTTTGACATGTGTTGATCGTGCGTGCGCGCCAGAATCAGCAGTCATATTTCGGCACGACAACAGCTTTGGCTTTTAGCATTGTGCCAATCAAAAGGATGGAATCAATCCCAGATGTTAGTATTTAAGGCAGACGTTCGCATCTGCCGCACCGGTTGTTCTGTGTCCAGCTAGCTGCTGCAACACAATTGTGATGCCCGTGAGTTTGTTTCGGAATATATACTATAGGGGCCTAAATAATTGCCAATATCATTCTCAGGGTTCCTTATGGTAGTTATAGTATAGCATGCCATCAACCCCTATTCCAACCATTAAGGCTTAAGGCCCCTGTACTACGCAGCTCTGATTTCGAAGGCTCCTGCAGCTGGCGAGCCGATCGAGGGGCCCGGTCGCCAAAGATGATGGGAGATTGGAAGTGGCCCTTAGAATTGAAAGGGAGAGTCGCGCTGGAGGTCTGTAGTAGGGTCCCCTTTCTCCTGCAGAATGTACCCGGTCAGAACTCCCTAGCAACAGCTGCAGGAAGCAAATAGCTGCAGTGGCATGAGAACCAAGATGTTCAAGCTCAATGTGAAAACAAGAATATAATACAGAGCACCCTGCGTGTCATAGAATCGGTCTCTTAAATACTCACACATTCTGTAGTAGTCGGCTCCACTTGCAAGGGTGCCTCCTCATCCGCATGCCAATGCTGGAAACCCTGCCAGCCGGCCACGTCCTGAGCGAGCGCGGCAATGAATGGCGCAGCATCTTCATCAAGTGTTCACTTTCGGTCACGAGAACGATGATCTGAGATTAAGACATGTTTTGTATTTTGTATTCCTTCTGCGGAATGCAGAGGTGAGAGCAATGGTAAGGACCAACCCTAGAATTCGTTTTTGCATTCCACGCAGGTCTTGCAGAGCTCCTGCTGCGAGAGGCCAGCTCGCCCAGCGGGTTGAGGGAAGAAGATCCTCGCGATGGGAGTCATCGTTTTGGGCTTCAGTCTTCTGTCGAAGGCTTTCATGGCTGTGGGTTGAGGTTTGGGGTCGTGGAGGGACGGTGCACTCGATGTTTGCGAGCGAGACTCGGGAGATGGAGACAAGATCCCGATTTGAGAAGGTAAGGTCTTGGCGTAAGGCGACCGCAGAAGCCACGCCTTGACCCCCAAAGTCTGCACTTGGGACCTACCACTTACTAATTGCCATTGCTCGTCATATATGTATACATATATATATATATATATATATATGTGTGCATACATATATATATATATATATATATATATATATATAGTAAATATACATAACTAGATGTATACATATATATATATATGCATATGTATGTATGCATGTATGTATGTATGTATATGTGCAAAACTCCATCGGCCCTGAAATCCCCAATCCATGAAACCCCAACGTGTCAATCACAGGATTTCCTCAAGCTCGGTGTGGGTATCGCCCAGGACTCCGGCAGTCTCTGAAACTGTTTTGCGACAGGTTCCACTGAGTTTTGGGAAAATTAAAAGCCATGGGGTCTCTTTTTTGTGAGTTGGGGTCATGCAAAGGATTTGCGGCTCCTGGCCGAGCAGTTCGGGCTGCAAAGTCGAGGACTGAACACGATAAACACACATTATTCACCGTTATGCTCATACCAGAACGTAAATATCAGTTATACCCCAAAACTGGAAAGCATTATTGTGATTAGAACTGCTTGCACTTGAAACCTTTGTCTTGCTAGTGCTACCGTATTACGAGTAAACTTGGTATATCTATACTTATTATCGTAGAGGCAGTAGATCTCAGCACCACCTTCACGAATAGGGTGGCTTTGGAGGCTATTTTCCCCGTTATCTCTTGCGATGCATGAAAGCTAGACGATTGTCTGGACAAAGACTGGATACAGGACAGGCCATCGGCTATGAAGTGTAATTTTCTGCAGGACAGATCCAGGGTGCGTTCAGGAGTCATACCAGTCAGGTTGCAGTTACGCACAGCACATGGCACACGAAGTTTTAGATTGGATGCTTCCCTTGAAGGTTCCACACATGGGTAACCACATGGGAGGTCCGTAGAACTGTAGGGGGGGGTGCTGTAAAAGGGGTCTGTAGCATCATCCCTGCTTGAGCTACGCGAGCTGCTGGTCTTACTCGACTCCCCGCACCGCAGGTCTCTGAGCCCCAGGCATCCCGATACCCCGAGACAGGAGCTGTAGATCTCCAGCCGCTGGCTGTGCGCCATGACGAAGGCTTGGCAGAGATTTGTTGCAGAGCAGCTCTCTATCACCGACCCATACAAGGTTTATGAAGCAGGCACGGCTGCTCGACCACAAGACCATTGCTATGTTGTTGCTTGGAGGTCTGGTCGGACTGATTGGCATCGGGGCCAGCCGCAATTCCAAGTCGAACACCACGCCCCCACAGTCCGCTCCACCGCGCCAACGCCATCGGCGCCATTTTCAAGCAACCTTTCGGCCAAGATGTGGGCAAAGTCATTGTTGGGAGGTGCTGGCGCCATTTTTTGGAGCAGCCAAAGCTGACAGCCAGGATTGGGGTAACGTCGTTGTTGGGAGGGGCTGGCACCATGTTGAAGCAACCAAACCTGGTCAAGATTGTTGTAAAATCGTTGTTGGGAAGGGTTGGTGCTATTTTGAAGCGACCAAGCCTAAACCTGTCAGCCAGGATTGGGGTAAGGTCGTGCTTAATTTACTGTAGGCATTGTAGAATGAGCACAATGATGAAGAACGCAGAATCATAACACGAATGCTGAAAAGGAGCCGTCCGGCTAAAGACTCCTGCTACTCCTACTCCCACTCCTCCTACTCCGACTCTGCTACTACTACTACTACTACTACTACTACTACTACTACTACTACTACTACTTCTACTACTACTTCTACTTACTACTTCTACTTCCTACTACTGATAATCAGAATGCACAGCGGTGTCATCTGCCAGGCGAGGGAGGCCTCGGCTTGGGCGCTCTTTGTTGGGCGATGCTCCGGAAGAAGCTGGACAAGCGAATCGAGCTGAGACGATCGGACTGGACAGGCCGGAGATTCAGGTTTGGGGGGTTTATAGGGTCTAGCGTGTGGGTGTGGGATTTCTGGGATTTCGCGCCTGGAGTGTTCAGGGTTCATTGTTTATGAGGGGCTTTTGGGCCTGGAGTGGTTAAAAGTTCAAGGCTTATGTAGGGCTACGTGGGGTTTGGGGTATGCAGGTTCTAGGGTTGAGGCTTTTTGGAGTTCAGGGTACAGGGCGAATGGTTTAAGTTTAAGGCCTTCGCGCTTTTGTCCGGGTTCAGGGCGTTGAGAGTCAGTGATACGCACCTGGGGACAGGCTTCTATGTTGGGATCCTACTTTAAAATGCTGCAAAATCTCGGTTCCAACGTCTTAGATGGATGGTTGCACTTAAGGAGCAAAGTGGAAGCAGGAATGTGGACAAGGACGATGATGTTGATACGGCACTCGACGAGAATGGCAGTTTTGGGCTTCCTCGGCTTTGAGGGTGTGGGGTTAGGCTTGATAAGGCGGAAGACAGGGAGTATCCAAGAAAAAGCGACCCCAGCTTAGAACCCTCGTTCTTAGGAGTACCACCAAAAGGAACTCCCACCCTCAAGAGGACCCCCATCCCCAAAAAGATAAGCACACATATACGTGTCGGAAGAACTCATGGTACTACTGTTCGTCAAGACCGAAATATAATATAGCTATATATACTAGAGATACCCCGAAGCCCTAACTTCTTCAGGCTTTATTCCGGCTTCACGATCTCCACAGTTTAAGTTGACTGCATTCAGGACTTCTCAGCGACGAGCAGGTGCAGTACGCTGCGTGTGATGCCTTCGTGGCCGTCGAAATTATGGAGGCGATTTGCATCGTGGGGGTATATGTGTAGATGTATAATAATATGAACATATATATATATATACATATATATATATATATACACATACACATGTACATGTGTAAATCTATGCATCTGGTTTTCAATATCTCTATATACCTACATATATACACACATATTTATGGACCGCTATGTGCCCATTTATTATATATATATATGACATATATATATATATATATATGTGTGTGTGTGTGTGGTATACACATGTACATGTAGGTGGGTTACGGTTGTTTAGCAGTATGAATATTTACAACTTCTACAACTACTACTACGACGACGACTACAGCTACTACGACTACTACGACGACGCGGACGGCGGCGACTACAACCACTGCCACTCTGGCTGCTGCTGCTGTTGCTGCCACTACCATGTCAGGGCATGCCCCCAGATGTGGACATCGCACATAGCGGGACTTTTGTTGCGCTTGTGCAGGGGCAGCCAATCCCAATTTCCTTCATGTCTTCCTTTTCGGTACACGGGAGGAGATGCATTCTCGACATTGTGCACCGCCCACGACGATTCGCGAATGGTGCAGCGACCTCATCGACAAGCTGCCCAAAGGCGGCGCTTGTCGTCACAAGTAACTCTTCTTCTTCTCCTGCCGCCAAGCACCTCAACTCAAGGCACATCTGCTTTCAAGCAATATAGGTACCAGACTAGGCTGTGTTTGAGATTCCCTGCGCACCGTGAATCGTGGTATGCAAGTCTCAGAGAGAAATTCGACACCAGTATCCCTAAGATGTAGTGCAAGTACAGTAATTAGTTATCAAGAGAAACAAAGCGAAGCAGTGAAACGATATGTATGCATCGCTGTTCTTGTACTCGGCGAACTCCCACTCGTGAAGACGCCGTAGGGGAAGAAGAGCACGTAGGTCATGAAGACAAACACGCCGTCAAGGAATGCACTAGGCATTCAGAAAGGGGCACGAAAGCAGAATCTTCGAGAAAATATTGTCATGAAGAACATGCAAGAAAATACGCTTGCATTGGCGCGGAATATCGCGGAATGATGCTCATGCATGCACCATGCACCGTCAAAAGGACTAAGGGCAGGCCTAAACCCAAGAACCCAAAGCGGGGAGGGGAAACGATATGTATGCATGGTTGTTTTGCGCTCATGTCGTCCGTTAATGCGGTTGAAGCTTACTGCTTCTTCAGAACATGCACTACTGAGCAGAAGCGGCACGGGAGCTGCATGAATGACTCCTTAGTGAGACCCGTGCCTTTAGGTGATGATCGCGAAATATGCTCTTTGCCCCAAAGCTCTGAAAGGAGGCTTGCAGCCCCGGCGCACGGGGCCAAAGAAGCCTCCAAAGGCGGGTTTCGGTGGCTTTGTGATGCGCTGCGCTTTGTAAGGAGCAGGATTGAACGGCAAGTCCAAAAGCGCAAGGTTGAATGCTCGAGGTCGACAGGGTCGCCGGTTGCAAATCATGGTGAAAAAGGTGCGGGATCAGTCGTCGGGTGAAGGGTTGTCTGCCATGAACAAGGCTGTCGTGCACGCACCAAAGCGCCAGACCTTGTTGTGCCTCGGTCTTGACTTAGCATGTTTGTGGCTTCGGTCCTGCGGGCAATGAACAAAGCAAGCTTCGAAGCAAGCTGTATTGGGTTCAGTGATGGATTTTTTGGGAGTTACCATGCCCCAGCTGTTGGTTCAGCATCCTTGCAGCTGACACATTGAGACCCAGACGACGAAATGCAACAGAGGCTTTTCAATTTGCACCGGGCGAGTCTCGTAAGCAGCTACGGTTTGCTTTTCGGCAGAGGGTGCTTTTGTGGAAAGGCCCGAACCGCCATGAACCAAAGTCCGGTGCGGGTGGTACTATCCAAAGAATGTAACTTCGTGCTTGGTATATATTGAACCATAAACCCTGAACCCTAAACCCTAACATTGTATCCATGACCGAGGTACGGGGGGATCAAGCTCCTCTCCCCGAAGGGCCTCCACCTTGCGAACGTCTCCCATGCCAAAGCTGTCATTCGCCTCAAGTTGTGTTTCTGTCCCACTTGCTTTGGGCCTTAGCATTTCATCAGGGTTGAGGACTTGGTAGGATCATGCTCTCAGCTCCTCAGCACTGCATTCAAGGCTTGGTACGTTAAGATGGGCCTTGCGCACAACGTGGAAGGCACTTCTGAAGAGGCCGTCGCATGCATGTGGGGAGGATGGTGTCGTCGCATCAGGCCGGGCTTCTGGTTTGGAGAGTCAAACCCCCCCAAACCAAAACTGCAAACACAGTCCCAAAGCACAAGGATCCTATAGCCACCACTTCGGTAGAGCCCCACAGAGCCGTCGCGCGTGGAGGAGTTGAGCACGGTGAAGCTGAACTTCGAGCCGAAGGGCGTCGGCCATGCCGGGGATGCCTTCTATCTCCAGGTCATGGAGAACCAGCCCTTCGTCTTGAACATGGCTTTGGATGAGTTTGGATCTTACAGGTCTAGGGGTTTGAAAGATGGTGAGCTGTGAGAGAAGCCGTTGAGCATGAGTTCCTTTCAGCATGCTTATTGTTCGATGGTTTCAGGCTCCGATGGTTACCTGGTGTTGGCGAACTTCTGCAGTCGCATGTGATTGACTCCGTTGGATTGATGGAAGAATGTCTGCAAAAGGAATCATGTCTGCTGACCATTTCGATAAGCCAAACGTTGGCCTCGGCATGCTACAGCGTCCACCATGCTTCTGAACTCCGGCTGAAATCTATGCTAAATTGGCTAAATAGTATCCCCTTACAGTCCCAATCTTTGATAAACGTTGTGTATAGCATAAGATCCCCCTAAGCCCCCGAAAAAAACTAGTTTGATTACAAAAGCCCCTATATTGCGCCATTAAAGAGGAACCTTTCCCTGGGCTTCTGTTTCAGGTGCGTTGGCTGCGGAGCCAAGGATCGACGGTCGAACCGGCTCCTTCAGGGTGCTGCTATTATAGAATAATATAGTGTATAAACAAAACACAAGCTCACTGAAAGTTTTGTCATAATATGTTGCGTCGTAGTTGGTATGGATCGGTTGTTAGTTTCTTGTATGTATGTATGTATGTATGTATGTATGTATGTATGTATGTATGTATGTATTTATGTGGTTTGGATACGGCTCTTACTTGCTTACATGATCTTACATGTATGTATGTCTGTCTGTGTGTATGCACGTGCACATAGCCCGACCTGCTTCATGCCTGCCTGCCTTCCAACGTACCTGCTTGTCATGCACCAATCTACATAACCACCTGTTATACCTACCTAGCTACGTACCTACCCACCTCCTACCACCACCTAGGTGCCTAATATCGCTAGCACTGTGGCTACTCCTGCCGATACTCCTCCTTCTCCGACTCGGACTACGACTACGAGTGCTGCTGCTATTACGACGACAACTGCTACTACACTGTCTCGGTTGCTAATTACTGGTAGCGTGGATTATCCCTACGTCTTTGTTTTGCTTTTTTCGGTCCTCCGCAGGACCATCTGGTTCGCTTCTCCATCGTGCCTCACGTTTTCCGCGCGTTGCTTCCACGGCGCTTCAAGGCTTCTCGTTTTCTGGGATCCATGTTGGGAGTTCGCTTCTAGGCTTGGGGAATCTGGGGCCCGCCGATCACCTTGAAGTTTGCGGTTTGTGGTCCATAGTAGAGTAGTTCTCCTTTCGCAAGGATCTCTGGTCCTCATTAATGTACTAAACTGTATTATCAAAGCTTTACACTTACACCTCGACCCCCAAGCCAACACTGCAGTTTGACGCACAGGATAGGTTTTTGCCCAATGCCTTATCGAACCTGTCTAGGCAAACCCTGCGGGCGTCCATGGTGGAATCCTTCCAATCCTTTCATGTCTAAGAAGCATCCCTTGCAGGAGCACTCGAGTCATGACATCGTGCTGCTTTGCCACAGCCCGAAGCTTAGGATGCTGGGAGTTCTGGGAGCTTTGGGAAGCTGTCAGACAAGAACTTAAGATGGGCCGACAGGTGTGTTCAGGCACACACAGACTAGATGGTTATACCTGTCTGCCTATTTATCTGTCCGTCTGTCTGTCCATCTGTCCGTCTGTCTGTACTTGTATATACTTGTATGCATACTTTATTAGTACATACATACTTAAATGCATAGCCCAAAAATCCTGAGAACTGGAGAATAATTGTCCGTGCTCCCCTTGCCGAGCTTCACCGAGCATTGCATCACCATATGGCCTTGCAGGTTTTCGGGCTTGAGCTTGCAGGATTTTGTAAGAGGTTTCCGTGTGGACGCTTTGGGAGCCAGCAGCCTCAAGAAGCAAGCCTTCAGAGCCCCTAAACTTAGGCCCTAAACCCTGAAGCCAAATACCCTACGCTAAATCCCAAACCCCGAACCCAAACCCCCACTCACCTCAACAGCAACCCCTAAACCTGGTTTTGGATTGCAATACTTGAACACTTTTTTTCATAGGAACCATTATATGAAATAAGAGTCTATACATTTTTCTCTCCTGTTACTTCAAAGTGCAGTAAACCCTCGATCTGCCAAGAGCCTAAACCCCCACACACACCCGAGGCTGCTACATTCCAGCCTCGACCGCATCCCAGGAGAGACGACTGGGGTCGACGGGGTCCAAGATCCTGCAGTAAGCAGTTTTGTCGAGGTAATGTAGGGGACTTTGATATTTAGAACAGGGCTGGCTTGATAGGGTCTATTAGCCGGACTCGAAATTATAGGGGTTATAATGCTTGTAGTAAATATTTGGATTAACAACAGCAGCAGCCAAACATGAACATGCCATCAGTACTTCCGCAATCCCAGAACAACACCGGCGTCGTAACAGTGCAGTATAACTGGTACTGACAAGACTGAAAACGTACCACTGGTGAACAATGCACGAAGATGTGCCCTATCGGAAAACTAGCCGTCGTTGTCGTGGTGGCAGTGGTAGTGGGAGTGGAAGTGGCAGGTAGGGGCAGGGATACATAGGGGTAAGGGTGGGGGCGGTTGGGGTATGGGAAGGTGCTGGTGCTATCGTTGCTGTTGTTGCTGCTGCTCTTGCTGCCTTTGTTGCTGATGCTGTTATCGTCGGTGTTGCTTGCGTTCTCCTAGCGCCCATGCAGACCTCTTAGCACTATCAAAGCCTGAAAGCCCGCAAATCTCCTCAGAACCGCCGCCAGCGTTTGCTGGCGGATGCTGGGCAGCGCGACGCCTCGGCGCCTGGGGCCAAAGGACGCTTCAGGCCAGAACAGAAGGAACAGAAGGGCGTACTAGTGTATCTTCTTGGGGTATACTCTAATGTAGCAAGGTTAGATAAGTATTTTTCGGGGGGCAATTCTCCTCGTCACTCAAGGGCTTCGAAATCATAGGTTGAGGTCTTCGAGTATGTTTGGGGTTCAGGGGGCTAAGGCTTCAGGTACTCCCTAAGCAATGCAAGCCCTCGCCCAAAGCCTGAAACTCTCAAGCTCCGGCTTGCCAAGTTTTCGGGAATTGTCTCAGATTCTCCAGCACGCTTTTTGCCTCGAGTCCGCCGAACTTCCGTTGAAAAGCTAAGACTTCCAACATGTCGGAGATTCTCTTGTGAGTGCCAACAGCGGGGTTATATTCACGCTTCATTTGCAATCAGCCACTCACTTGGTCCAAGTTCATGATTCTCATAATCTCTGTAGTAGACAGGGAAAGTGCCATAGACCCCGGACTGACAGAAGTAAAGCTACTTCGCTGGTCGCAGAAGCATCTGGTTTCCGAAACTCTGGGCATCCCCACACCAGCACCGACCTTTGCGCACGAAGGGTGGACGAGGGCAAGCTGCGCGCACGCGGGGCCGCCGCTGCTCTGCGCCACGCGTTGCCGAGCGAGGCACATACCTATGACATTGCTCGAATGGCAGTGAGCAAAACTTACGTGACCCTGCACCCAAGACTGAGAAGTCATCAATTACAATCGTCATCGAGCTGTCATCGGGCATGCCTGGGTTCTCCAAAAGAATAATTTTGTTTGATGGCCCATGGCAGCGCTCGGATATTTGTCAAGGGGGTTGATGGCCTGCTCGGGGTTTGTGCTGATTCCCTGAAGTCCGGCCAACTTGTTCCCAACGGAGGCTCCTTGCATTGCGTAATACCTGCAGCCAAGCTGGCACATACCATTCCGCCCGGCGCATTGTCGTCGCGGTCGTCGTAGTAGTGGTCGTGGCCATTGTGGTAGTTTAGTAGCAGCCTTCGTAGTAGTCGTCGTTGTCGTGGCGGTGGCGCGTGGTCGTCGTCGTAGTAGTAGTGGCAGCAGCAGCAACAGCAGCAGCAGCAGCAGCAGCAGTAGCAGTAGCAGTAGCAGTAGCAGTAGCAGCAGAAGTAGCACGAGTAGCAGTAGCGGTAGCAGCAGCAGTAGTGGCACTGGCACTAGCACTGGCACTAGCAGGAGCAGGCGCAAGTAGCAGGTAGCAAGTAGCAAGTAGTAGTCGTAGTAGTAGTAGTAGTCGTCGTCGTCGTCGTAGTGGTAGTGGTAGTTGTAGTGGTAGTCGTAGTGGTTGCCGTTGTCGTTGTCGTAGTCGTAGTGGTGGTGGTGGTGGTGGTGGTAGTGGTAGTAGTAGTAGTAGTAGTAGTAGTAGTAGTAGTAGTAGTAGCAGTAGTAGTAGTAGTAGTAGTAGCAGCATTGTACACATGTAAGTAGAGAGGTAGATGGGTAGACAGGCAAACATGCAAACACTTTTGGTGTTAACTCCGAAAGCGCATAAAGGTTGAATCAGGGTGTGGTGGTAGAGGCCCTCCAATCAACTCGGAGCACCCATCCGCCTTGCAGTCAGAAGCTAACCCAAAACCCTTCAACCCCAAACCCTGCACCCTAAACCCCCTTGAATGTCCTGGCCTACGAAGGTGCGAGAGGAGAAGGAAGCCATCCTCCGAGACTTCCTGGGCAAACGGCCAGGCCGGGAAGCAAGAGCCAGCGAAGCTCGAACCCTACAGAAATAGAGGTTTTGGTAGGTTCAGGTAAACCTCGAAGTCTAAAAAAGGCTTCAATAAGGGGATATATGTTCCAAGGAACTGAAAGCTGTTTTATTGCGCTCATTGCTTGATTGCGGTGTCTTGGACTGTCCGAGATGATGGGAAGGGCCCTTGTATGTGAGTTTGGGATGACATCAAGCCTAGGGACAGTTCTGAACGCCACACTCGCAAGAGACAGAGAAGGCATCGAACTCAACACCTCATAAGGCTTACCTGACTAACAAGGCAGCAGTTCGAGCCGAAAGAACTATTCCATTATCATTAGCCGCTGATTGATGGGTTTCTTCTATCGGGGGAGCTTGGCAGATCGTACCTGAACATGCTTGGTCCTGCCCGACACCTGTCGATACCGGATTCATTTTGCTTCGAGCTTCAGGTGCAGCTTTGATGAAGGAAGAAGTCGAGCAGATCAGGGTGCTGGATGTGAAGGTCGCTCATGGGTGGGCGCTCAGTGGCTAAATCTTGGGGGAGGGGATGTTGACGGGCAGTCGCATTTCATGTTGATGGATAGTACAGTAAGTTTGCAACGACTCCTCCGCCTCTGTATTTTGTTTGCTAGAGATGCTGTACTCTTGTTTCGCCCACGAGGACGGTGGGAGACGAAAAAGACTTATCCTATGTCGCAGTGATAGAACACAGGGATCTGAATTTCTCGCGTGGTGTGCACCCGTTGCGGCTGTGGCGCAAGCAATGTCCGTGGGGTCCGTGCACCCGAAATAGGTCCCAGGCGGCAAGCCCTGAGAAGAATTCCCGTGACTCCAAAATGTAAGAGCACCAGTGCGACAAGCCTAGCGCCCCGAAGTCATCAGAGCCAAACCTAGTAGTCTCCTTCACATCGTTCTCAGTATCGACTGCCGGGAGCCCTGCCTCGGCATTTTGATGTAGGTCTAGAATTTATATAATATACATACATGCATGCATATAGGCTTTAGGGTTGAAGGTTGGTAGTTGTACGTAGATTTGTTTCCTGCCGAGGGTTTGGGTTGAGGAAGCGTTTCCGGTGTGGTCGAAGCAAGGTGTAGGCTTCATTGGAACACCTGAAAGTAGCTCATGTGTCAGACTTGAGATCCACAAACCCTGAATTCCTGCACCTACAAAAATCCAAGCCCGGTAACGAAAGTGACAGTGTTTGACGCAGGCTTGGAACCCTACACTGCGCGCAAGCACGAATCGCGACTACACCTGGGAGACAAACTCTGAAGAACCGCGTGACCCCAGCACTTCCCAAGTCCCTAACCCGAAACCCTAAACCCTAAAAGAACCCAGACTCTTAGACACCCCAGTACTTCTCAAGTCTGCAGGAAGCAGTTGAGGGCTACGTCTCGCCGGAGGTGGCCTGCGCTACGCATCTTCGGATCACCGAGGTCTCCCGCTCAGGCTTTGGGTTGAGAGAGATTTACGGGCACCGAGTGTTTAGGGCCCATGGATTTTTTGGGATTCTGGGTTTTGGCAGGGTCCAAACATCCATCATGGCTTCCTGTAGTCACACTGTAGTCTCGTTGCAGCTGCATAGTTTAAGCCTGCGAAACTGGCGAAATGACGGTGTTTGTGGGTCTAGAGGGCTAGTTTCAATTTCGATCCGGGTAGGAAGAGTTCTACTGCAGTTTTCGTCTTAGCTTTTGAGACTTAGTGCGGTATCTAGATTGCTCGATGTGGTGAGTTCGCATTGGTTCTCCAAAACTCAGAGTTCAGAAATCCAGCTTCTACATTGTTATTTGATACTGCTGCCAGAGGTGCCTAATTACGTTGCCAACCGACCACTAGTATATTGCATGCAGCCACACCAGCGGTGGATCCCAGCAAGATGTGGTGGTGTTCAATGCCCGTACTCATGTCGGACGAGGGCTGGAGTCAAGACCATCGGCTCTCGGTTGGTAGTAGTAGTAGTAGTAGTAGTAGTAGTAGTAGTAGTAGTAGTAGTAGTAGTAGTAGCAGTAGTAGTAGTAGTAGTAGTAGCAGCAGCAGCCGTCGTCGTCGTCGTCGTCGCCGTAGCAGTCATTGCAGTACTTCGCGAGTCTAGAACCAGATCGAATGCATTGCGGAGTTCAGAAGCAAAAGCACAAGAGTTGTAAGACTGGATCCCTCCCAGGCATGCACGGAAGATGCAGAGTCTTCGGAAGCAAGGCAGGTTTGCGAAAGCGGGATTCACTGCTCCCTCTCAACCGCGATGCGAAAAGACTAGTTTTTGCAAGAAAGCGTCCGTCGCACTAGGATTGATGCACTTGGGAAAACCCCCCAGCCTTGAAGCCCTCCTTGCCATGGAGGTGCTTCCAGTTTGTCTTGGACTGGCGGCAGACTTTTCTGGACAGTGTGAAGCCCCAATACCTCCCAGGAGGATGGGACTTGCACCGCAGCATCCGAAAGCATGTGCCTTGGCGTAGACTGCAGCCACACCTTACAGATACCCGGATTCGGATTCATGGAGTCATAATCATCAAGGCAATCCTGAAGTGGGTGCCAGAATGATGGTAATTAGCATGAACAGGCAAAGCTCTGCTGTGCCACCGATGACATGACGGTCTTTGTGGCCCCAAGGACGACCTCTTCGGTGTCGGACAAGTCGGCCCAGCTGCGGAGGTCAAAAAAGGAATGCTGACGCTCTTTATATCGGGCCAGGAGCCGCGAAACGGCCCGGAACTTCAGCACTGGACCCCAAGCGCAAACACCCAAGCCCTGGAGTCTTGGCACAGGCAGCGCAGAGCTGCCGGAGGCGTTTCGGACGCTGGCAGGCGTGCGGTTTCTTGTCGTTGCGAGCTTCATGGTTACTTGCCAGGATGCTAAAAATTCGCAAGTGCACCAAGACCTGTAAAACGCAGATGCAGTCGTCTAGTGCCGCTACTCTGACTTTTGCAAGGAGCAGCCGGTCGCGGAGGTGGGACGCCTCCATGTCAAGTCCACGAGTGCAAACAGCACTTTCGTTCATAGAGCTTGGTGGGCTCTGGACCCTGAGCACGAACGCCTGAATTGCACTTTCAACCTGTAGTGAGGAAGTGTCAGAAGTCAGGGTAGCAGGAAGAGCCATCACAGCACCCCTCGTCATGGCCTCTGTTGTTGAGAGTGCTCTGGCTCGTCTCCATAGTTCAGTGGCCTGCGCTCCATTCACGATGTCATCCCCAGTCCTGCGATTTTCTCTCCAGGTCCTAACTTTGGACTCAGATCTGGCCCTCCTGGAGGACTTGGATCTAGCATCGTTTTTGTGTTGTTTTGCAGGGATTTCTTGGCTTGCCTTGCGGAGTCCTGGGCGGCGAAGTAGTTTTGTTTGCGCCACGTCCCACGGCTGCTGCTGTTGAACCACTGTCCTGTTGGCTCCTTTCTGTTGCCGTCCCTAAACTCTAAACCCCCCATTCAGGAGGCCAGTCTCAGCGTGACATTGCGGGAGGCTCTGAGCGGCCTCGGTCTTACGAAGGTTAACAGGCGATCAGGTGAATGGGATGATGCTCCAAGCATAGTGGGTGAACAAATGTTTCCCCAATTAGTTGAGTGCTACTTGTAGCCCACGCCGTTTGGCTCCAATCCTTTCCGGATGCTCTTTAGAGCACCGCGTGCTTGAGGCAAGAATTTGAGCATTCGCGCAGCCTTTGCCGGATCCCAAGAGCCAGGGAAACGGCAGGAGTTGCCTGCCCGGCTGCTGCACAGAACACGATCTTTCGAGTTTGTCCATGGTATTAATCTGACTCACTTGACCTTGCCCCAACTTCTCTAATCGTGTCTGATGTTGGGTTCGATCATGTCGTATTTGTGCATGAGGGGTTCTCAATTGGGGCAAGTATTCGACACTAACTTAATCGATTTGTGTCAAGGGCCCCCTAAACGGCCCAGCAGATCAAACAGAATGGGCCAAGGACATCTTTGACACGGACAAGAACGGCTCGCTGGTTGGGTGCTCAGAGAGCTACTGCCAAAGGGCTTGCACAGAGAGGATTATGGGTTAGTTTTATTGAACTTTAAGCGGGGCTTAATTCCTTAGCCCTAAACTTGCCTCTGTGCTAAGACCCGAAACCCAAAACCCCTAAACCCTAAACCTCCAGGGAGCCCTAAACTTGTGTGCTAAGCCCGAGGGGCAGCCCTAAACTCGTGCGGAGGACATGGTGGAGACCTGGGCTGCGCTGTATCACCTCGGGCTGCGCGGGATCTCCGCCGACCAGGCTGTCCGAGCGGAGTTGTTGTTTGCTTGATGGCTGAGGGCTCTGTGCAAAGAGAGAGTACGTACATACATGTATGTATGTGTACATATATATATATATATACTCTCCCTCTCTCTCTCCCTCTCTCTCTCTCTCTCTCTCGCTCTCGCTCTCGCTCTCGCTCTCGCTCTCGCTCTCTCTCTCTCTCTCTCTCTCTCTCTCTCTCTCTCTCTCTCTCTCTCTCTCTCTCTCTCTCTCTCTCTCTCTCTCTCTCTCTCTCTCTCCCTCCTCCTTTCTTCCCCATATATGTACATTCGTAGTACATATACATAAATATGTAGATACATGTAGGCCTGCTTGTTCTGCATACATAATTACATGTCAGTGTATAGATACACAACAACATCTATGTACGAGTCTGGGACTTCAGAGGTGAGAGGTGGTTAGAACCTCCGGGCTTCGCTTGCGAAGATGCGTGTAGTGTTACTACATGGAGCTGATAAGTCAGGTGCATTAATGATTCGGCGTTATATATCATAGCGTCTATGTATGGTGTTCCAAGTAGATTGTTCTTGCAGCTAGAACAGCGTCTGACGGCGGGGCAGACCTACAGAGCATCAAGATTGGCGTTTGGACCCGATCTATCTATCCATGTAAAGTATCTGTCTGTCTACCTACAAATCTAACTATCTACACCATGCTGCACATGCACGATGAAGATCCTGAGTCGTATGACACTCTTCGACTTTGTGATCGGGTGCCTAAGCAGAAAAAGAAGAAGCGCCACCATCCCTTCAAATCCCATGCTGCGAGCCTTTACAGCCCTAAACCCAGACCAAAACGCTAAACCCTAGAGCTCGCAACCCCAAAATCCGTAAACGCTAAACCCCAAGAGCGTAGAAGCAACCTGAGTGCTCAACAGCGTGACTCCCGAAATCATGCATACGCAGACGTGCGTTCACACTCCAGGAATACTGGTACCTCCTCCAAAAAGCCAAATCGTTGTGGCAGGTGGTCCGGTTCTTCGATCTCATGGATGAAGCGAAGGTTGGGAAAGGGGCTGGGGTCATTAGGGTATGGGAATTTTTCGTAAACCTAGACCCAAGCCGTAAACTCTGTGGCTTAAGGCGTCTAGCCGCGAGTTTGGGATCTATGCTGCTGCTAGGGTCTTGTAAGTCCAGTGCCGTTGGAATCCAAGGCGCTCCGGCGCTCAATCGAGAGTTGATCCCTGTTTGGGGTCCACTGCCTTCGCAATTCACAGCGAGGTATCACGATCGCAGGAGAGTCCGTTTTCGGTGCCTCCAGGAGAAGTTGACGGAGCATTCAGGGTTTATCACTGCCCGTCTCACAACGGGACTCAGATGCGGATCACTGCAACGGCGTCACACATGTCGGTTTAACAGCTTATAGCATTGCAAAGCGGCTGCATTCGCAAAAAAGCATATGCCCACATTAAACCTTTGTACTCGTCGAAGCGTCATGGTCTTGCGCGCGAGAGCTGACGCGGCAGTTCCAGCGATCTCGGTGCAAAGGCTTCCTTGCGGCGACAGGGGATCACAATGTTCGCCAAAAGCCGTCCTCGGTTCAAGGTTCAAGGGTACTCAAAAGTAGGGCTGCATCTCCAAATCGAGCCCCTGCAAATTACAGCAGTGAAGTTCAACACTAAGCCTGGTTGGCTGACACACTTCGCTGGTCAAGTCGCTCTAAGACGAAACGCCTGACTATCCATGAACCTGCAAGTATGGAACACTATCCCAAAGCGGCGACAGACATCCTGATCCCGTATAAAGGACAACGACTTAGGTGGCTCCACCCACGCAGCACAGGTGGGCCGAGTGGGCTTCCGCGAGTTTCACAACTTTGTGCAGGCTGCCGTGGAGGAGCAGCAATAAGTTGTGCCAAATCAGTGATGTTCACGAGTTGTGCATACGCCTCGAACCCTTGGTGGCTTGGTGTTGGCAGCTCGGCTGCGCAGGAACGGACACAACATCACCCGCTCTTGTCACGTGCACACTCGCCAAGTACTCCTGAGGCCGTGGGACGGAACATGGGCAGAACGGTCTGTCGCAGGGAGCGTAACTCGAACTGTAATCAATCGTACTGAGACTGATTGCTTCTCTTGCTCCAGTGCTCTTGGATTGTTCCTGCTGCTTTCGAATGGCGTACCTCGATCATGTCAAAGTTTTTTGCCCCGTCTCAGACTGCCACGCTGCCGCCCCAAGCGCCTTTGATCCTACGACGTGGCTGAGCTGCATTCGGTAGCCTTTGTTGATGCCTTACATCTCGTCGAGGAGCTCTAAGTTCGGGGCCGCGAGGGATGGTTACGGCCGTTACAACGGCTGAAATGGCCAAGGGTGCTGCATCAGTGTCCAGGACTACACAGGATCACACAGGAAAGACAGCACACGCTGCGGTTCTCATGCTGCATGCATTGGCCTTGGCAAGATTGAAGTTTCCACTCTCCGTCCCGGTCCCAACTGCTGAATTTGACGAAGGATGCAAGATTGAAGTTAGAAGCGTGAGGGGATGCAAAGGTGATCGTAGCAGTTATTAGCAGTAGTGGTACTCTTCGTCGTCGAGTCTCGCCAGTCCTGGTACTGCACCGGTGGTGCTAGGGGTAGCGGTAGTGGCAGCAGTAGTGGCACCAGGATCACTGCCAATACCTCTTTTCTTTTCTGGTAGAAATAAACCAGGATTACCGCCGAAATCTACCAACCTACGACGACGAGTGCGATACAATTAATTAATTAAACTACTGCCACTGGTGCTGCTATTCCCTGCTACTGCTGCATTGCTGCTGCGTTGCTGCTGCTGCTGCTGCTGCTGCTGCTGCTCCTGCTCCTGCTCCTGCTCCTGCTGCTACTGCTGCCTACTACTGCTACTACTTCTCCTGCTTCTACTACTGCTTCTGCTACGGCTACTACTACTACTACTACTACTACTACTACTACTACTACTACTACTACTACTACAACTACTATCACTGCCATCACTGCCAGTATGACTTTCCATAAAATCTGCGCTTGAGGCGTTCTCTCCGCTGAGACGCCAAGCGCAAGCCCTGTGCCGCTGTTCCGCCAGACCTCGCCGGTGTCGCCAAGTGTTCCAGAGGCATTTGGGTGCCGAAAGAAAGGGAAGTCTCGATGGTCGAAGCATTTGTGGGAAGCCCACTTCTACGCTACGAACGATGCTGGTTCAGTTACACATACCCCTACACTAGCATTCAGACCTTGGAGTGGCATGTCATTCATTGCCGTGCAGCATGCTCTCGCATTAGAGCTGTTCATTTCTGGCTTGGCTGTGGGAGTTCGAGATCTGGCAGGCTGGGCTAGTCCTTCCTGAATTCTCTTTGAATGGGCTGACCTGGCTGGCTGACATGGGATGCGAGAAGCAATTCCATGACTGTTTGAGCTGCAAGGCTCATGTTCGACACAGCGTTGATATGGCAATAGCATGTTTGTTGTCATGGAGTAGGTGGCTTTTGCTGGCGGAATTCATCCTAGGCTGAACTTGTGTGACTACTTCGGAATATTTGTTTATGAGATTATCTTGGAGTGCGGGTTGTGTCAGTTCTTCCGCGGGGCTTTCTTTTGCCGAAGTATTGGCCTTGCAATCAAGACATGGCTGGACAATTTATCTGCCCGCGCAGGGCAACGTGCTGACAATTCCCCTGCAGCCGCCGGACCTCGCGTGGCTTGGATACAGTTGTTCCCCTTGAGGTCCAGCTTAGGCCCGTGCTCCAGCAGGGCAATGCTCAAGCTAGTTAAACCACAAGGTTATAAGCCAGTAAGACGGCAACAAACACGATGGCGGAAGTGACAGTGGAAGTAGCTGTATGCACAGTAGCGGCTGTGGTAGTAGTGTCTGCGGTCCGAACCATCGTAGTAGCGACATCGCTGCAAATCATATGTTTACTCGTAAGAATACGAAGAGGAATCACACGAATACTACTGGTATCATTACGAACTGTGTACCAGGGTGCACATCTGTCCTTTCCTATGGCCCTTCTCTTACCAGCACAGATACTCCGTGTCTGCATTTGTGAATTAGGCAGCATAGGGCAGTCAAGACGACAACCCAGGCCTCACTGCATGTCCGCTCCATTCTCTACCCTCGCTACAACCTGCTTTGCATTTAAGTTCTGCCGTACCTTGAGATGACTGGGCTGAGTGTTCTGCACCTAGCTCCTTGGTTGGACTTGTTGAGGCCAACACAGCATCCAATAATGTTCACTCCTGTGGAACACAGGTGGCAGGCCTGCGCGACCGTCCAACATCACCCACAATCAAGAGGGCGTCTCCCAAAGCTTGAATGTCCACATTCGGAGAGATTTTTATTACAGTGAGGGTGCTAAGACAGACTACTCTGAACTCGAAACCTGGGCCCTGTGCTGTCAACTCCTCTTGTCAACCCTATCCCCACCCTTAAACATAAACCCCCAAACTTAAAACTGTATATCCCCAAACTCTAAACCCTAAGCCCTGAACCCCAGACTCTGCAGCACTACAGTGTCCAGGCCCTAAAATGAGGGGTACCTTCTTTTGGGGTCCTTATAATAAGGATCCTACTATTTAGGGTACTGTCTTAGGGGCAGTACAGTAGAAGCCAGAAAGTTGGAATATCATTATCGTAACCCCTTTAAGGTAAATTATAGGGGATCCTACCATTAATCCATATTCCAACTTTCTGGAGTTACCTTTAGGCCCTGAGATCCCCAGGCGCCTTTCCTCCGGGGTGCCCGGGCCGGCCCTTCAGCGAGGCCTGTGCTGCTTGCTTCCACGAAACCCTAATCCCGAAACCCTAATCCCGAAACCCTAAACCTTTAAGAAAAAAACCCTAAACCCTAAACCCGAAACATCCCGAAACCCTAAACCCACGGTCCAGCTGCAGGGTGAAGATGAGGTCACGGAGGGGTAAGATCGTATGAGATGGTTTGAGATACTGTGGTGGTCTGTTAGATTGTTGAAATACAGTAAAGTGTGAGTTTGGATATAGTATTGTGTGATGGGATGGTGATGGTGGTAGCGGTGGTGGTTGGTGGTGACGGGGTACAGCTTGCGTGCTCTCGGCCGGGTACGATTATTGATCTAATTGCTCTGTCGAAGATACCTGTGCTGCCTTTCTCTTCGCTGGAAGTCGTGGCCGTGATGCAAAAACCTCGATCTGACTGTACAGGGTTTCTTTCCGATAGGAGAAAGCCGTCGGAGGTCGCAGTCCAGGAAGTGTAAGCCTTCAGCTTCTGGCAGTTCCTTCAACAAGAGCTGACTTCATGAGAGCGACGAAGAAGAGAGCAATAACATAGGACAAGCAGAAGAGAAAACGACTGCATGCGTTTTGGAGTTGGTTCGCCGGGTGTCGCAGTGTTTGCGAAAAATTGGCTGGCTCGCAAACTTGACCTGGTGCCGGAAGAGGGGAGAGAAGCGTGTGGTTAGAGCCTGAAGACAGCGCATCTTTGCCTGGTCCTGCTCCTGTCGGGGTGTGATTGGGATGTTCGTATATAGCGCATTGTAAGCTTATGACTAGTGTGTCCTTCCACCGTTAGGCAGTCATGCATGGACGTCAGGAGGAACGGTCTCTGCGACGCCACCGCAGCTCGGGCGACACACATCCTTCCAGGCAGCCAGCCCGACCAAGTCTTTGTCCACAAGAGCATCGCTCTACCATGTCTTGTAGGCTAAAGTCCCCCATGTACAGATGCGGACAAGATGCTGCAATATGATATAAGATCATTAGCAAACATGTCATTTGTCCATTGTATGAATCTGCTTGCAGAGGCGCCAGCTCTAGCTAAGAAAGTTGGCGTCGCGAGATTCACAGATATGCACGTGGTCTCAGAAGACTCGTCTTTGAGACTTAGTACGGTCCTGCAACGTTCCTCCTTCTTTAGGGAGACAGCCAAACATCGAAAGCATTCAGCCCCCGCGAACCTCCTCAAACTGCAGAGGTCAGGGACTGTGCTCCGAACCCTAAACTAGCTCTAAAGTCTGGGCTTTGACTATGATTCTTTCAGGCAACCTCGCTGCTGTTTGCGGAGCCTCGT